CTCGCCAGGCAGAGACTCCGCGGAGCATCGAGTAGGCGGGAGGAGAGAGAAAGGAGAGTTAAAAAAAACAAAACAAAACAAAAAAAAAAAACCCAAAAACAGAACGCCGACAAACCCAAATCAACCCGCAAAAAGGAGAGAGAAATCAAAACAAACAAACAAACAAAAAAACAAAAAGAAAAAAGAAACGATCTCCAAGTGACGTTAATCCGTGAACATTGGGGACACTTCGGATGTTTTCTGGCAAAAGTGATCGCTCCAGCGCACCGTCACCCGCTGCTGTCAGTTTTGCCACCTTGTGCATGCGTCTAACTAAGCACGCTCGGAAGGATCGGAAGCGTATTTAGAACAAAACTAAACAAAACAAATAGTAGTAATAATAAATAATAAATCCTTGGGGCTGGTCTCCATTAAAGATGACATTTCTTTGTTGCCAACAGTATTATTTCACTGCCATGAATCTCTTCCATCACTGAGGAGCTGCTGCTGCAGAACTGGTTTGAATTTAAATGTGGAATTTCAGATCTGAGGCAAGGCAGTTTGTTTTTTTTTTTCCTTTTCTTTCCTAAGAAAAAAAAGCAGCAATAACAAAAAATGCGCGTCTCAAATGGCCGTGTCCTTTCAAAGGAGAAAAAGAGAGAGACTAGAATTTACTAACCGTTAGTGATAACTTGAGAGATGGGAACAATAAGAAATGCACCTGTTTTGCCAGAATCACCTGAACTGAGTGAGATGCATTGTGCCATAGAAACAGGTCAATTTTTCTAATTTTTTTTTCTTTTTCCAAGTGTCTGGATCTTTGAATCAAAATCTCGCTGTTTTACAGGATGTAGAAAGAATGACTTATATGAGAACGATGGACATATGGTTTTAAGGCATAATACTGATGCAGCATTAATTTTAGTGAAATGCAATTAAGTGCAGTAAAGTGCAATACTGTAAATATTATAGATTAAAAAAAATAGCCGTACTTATTCTGTTAATAATTGATTCTGCAAGAACCATAACTTAAGTCCTTTATGCTCAGACTGGTGCATTGCAGCTCCTTGCCGAAATGACGGTCCGAGTCTTCTACGAATGGATAAAGTTATATGTATCGCATATGGGAAAAGGTAGATGCCATGATTTCTAGTTGAGTTAACGTGCCATATTTCGGGGAATTAAGATGAAAAGTCTGTACGACACTTTCGCAATCATTTTAAGCAAAAAACCCCAAAACACCCAAACAAAAACCCAGCCCACAGGAGTGTTTTGTAGAGGTGGACAAGTTCAATATTTTGCCATTTAAATTTTTCCCTGTGATTTAGACACCAAGTCTTAAGCTGGTGCTTAAGCAAAGTAACTAGTATAAATCCAGAAAAGGTGGGGAGTAGGGAAATCCTTTAAATTATATTGCCAAAGGGTCTGAGTTAACTGACACCTCTCCCATTTTTATTTTTTGTGCTATTCACTTCTAATGTGTTTATTATATTTTTTTTATTGTTTTTGGTGGGGAGGAGAGAGGAAGGTACAAATATTGGTCTTGTCTACTTCTAAGAAGATAGCTGATTCTTGCCTTTGTTGCCAAGGCCTGTGCTGATGGAAGATTCTCCTCTCAGTAATACCGTCGTTAAGCCTGCTTTGTATGTCTCGTTTAGCAATCCATTACTAGTTCTGGCTTTCGTTGATATTTATCAAATCTAAATACTGCTATAGGACAAGAATTCATGCTGTAGATAAGTTTTTAGACACTTGTCTTTTCTGTTTCTCCTTCAAGTTTTGATATTTTCTAGCAAGCAAAATTTCTGAAATGTCAAAGTTGTGCTATTTCCCTTCTATTTATTACGTGAGAAATAGTTATATTTCGAATTTACAAGAGCTGATAAATGTTACCTGCCTTTTCTACCTCTCTGTGAAAGCCCAGTACCTTTGTAAAGCAAGGCCAAAATATTAACGTTGCTTGTTGCTGAGAAATACGGACACAAATCTCAGGCAATTAATAATTTCTTATTGAAACTAAACATTACCTAGGAAGTAAAACATTCTTCATGATGATGCATGAATTTCTGGCTGAAAAAGAAATATTTGGAGTGGTTCCAGCACTTCTAACATGCAGATCTGAGAAGCAACGAACATCACTACAGAGATGCTTTAGGCTGTAACGGGTAACTTGTACAGGATACCCACGGCCATCGAAGGAGAATTTGATACACGGTGTTGAAGACCGAAGGCACAGAGCTTTCGACTGAGTGGAGACTGCTTGCTATCTGTACCTGTGATCTAATTGTTAGCCTTTGAAGTCCTCTTCTGAGGGTTTAAATAGAAGCTTGTGTGATTTTTTCGGTCCTGTGCTGGACTTTCACAAAGGAGGGATTTTCACCCTCAAACAATTCCATGGAATGAGCTCAGTTGAAGCTGCAGGTTTGGGATCTGAATTTTCTCAGACAGCTTCTCAGTGAGGATGTGAAGTGTTACCAAACTTACAGTGTCACAGGATACAGGTACAGTGTGCACCTCATGTTGGAAGGAACAACTTCTCCACCTTTGCTGTTCTATGAGCTATCAACACAGCTAAAATGGTCTTAGACTTCTCTCAGAAATTTTGCTACATGTAGCTTCTGTCTTGTATTAAACAAATAGTGGTAACATGAATACAGTTCCCTGCTAACATGAAATGAGGCTGGTAGTGTAGCATACATATTTCCAGAATGAAAAAGTCTTACAATTTCTTCTGATTGCTTTCAATGGATGTCTCAAGGACAGTCTTGCTTTCTACCAAATAGGGGAAGAAGGTGGCAAGATTGATCAACTCAGCCTGTTTTGAAGGAGGTACCGTAGATCAGCCTAGGGAAAGGGGCAGGGGGTTGCTGTGGAAGTACGAAGGAGCTTCATGCTGCTCTTGCATTTCATTTAGCATGCAAGGAAATGAAAAGGTGCGTAGTGTAAGGACTGTAGCCGAAACAGGTTCTGCTTTCCCTATTTCTCAAATGGGCTGCTTACATCAGTGGTGGTATAAAAGCTTTGCCGTGGTTTGGATGATGTGTGCAGGTGGCCTCCTCTTCTTGTCGTCGTTGGGAAGAAATGAGGAGTCCTACCTGGGCTGCCATGTACTGTGCTTTTCACTAAGTGTAAGTCACTGTGTCTCCATTCACCCTGTG